CGTGCCAGGTCGCCAGCCGACGCGATTCCATTGGCGCCGGGACAGATCACTTGGTGCACCTCCGGCTTGTCAAAGACGTTGGCGTAGCCGTTGGTGTCGGCGTCCTGCTCCATCAGGTGGATACGTGAGACGCGGCCCTCCAGCTCGGCAGGCAGGCCGACGTAGGTGTCCTCCATCTGCAGTGGCCGGGCCAGGTCCTCGGCGATGAAGCGGTCGAAGGTCCGCCCATCGATTCGCCGCACCAGCTCGGCAATGACCCACCCGTAGTTGATCGGATGATAGGACAGCGTCGAACCCGGCGCGTACTTGGGCGTCGCCCGCTCCATGGCCGCGCAGACCAGGCTCCAGTCGTGCCAGTCGGTCCAGGGTAGGTCGGCAGGCGTCTCCGGGAACCCGCCCTGGTGGCTCAACAGGTGCCGGATGGTTACCGTTTCCTTGCCGTTCTGCCCGAACTCCGGCCAGAACTTCGCAACCGGGTCGTCCCATTCCAGCCGACCCCGCTCCTTGAGCATGTAGATGCAGGCCCCCGCCAGCGGCTTGGTCGACGAGAACAGCACGAACATCGTCTTGTCATCGACCCGGCGTCCGGTGCCGCTGTCGGCAACGCCGCCGTGGATGTCGAGCACGAGGCTGCCGTAACGATAGACGGCGAGACCCGCTCCGGGGTGCAGTCCCTCGGAGATCTGCCGGTTGAAGGTCCGCTTGACCTCCTCAAGACCGGCAGGGTTCATGGATACGGTTCGGGCGTTGTCAGCGTGGCCATAAGTCTCCCTCTCCCGTTGGGTAGGCTGATTGGATAAGACTATTGTATGGATCGGCGTATTCTAGCACTCGCTAGCGACCCCTCCACACGGGCGCGCGTTTCTCGGCGAATGCCTTGACTCCCTCCTGCGCGTCCTCGGTGGCCAGCACTTCGTCGCGCTTCGCCTGCGCGAATGCCACTCGCTCCTCCAGCCCCATCTCGGAGCCCTTGATGGACGCCTCCTTGATGGCGGCCAGGGCCAGCGGCGCGTTGGCAGTGATCTTGCGGGCCATCTCCTCTGCGCGGGGCATCACCTCATCCGGCTCGACCACGTAGTTGACCAGCATCAGATTCAGCGCCCGCTGCGCATCCACGAACTCGCCTGTGAACAGGAACTCGAAGGCCACGTTGCGAGGCACCACCTGCGACAGCAGCGCCGGACCACTGACCGACGAGATGCCCCCGCTTGGCCTGGGGCCACCCGAACCGGGCCTCAGAGGACGCGATGCGAATGTCGCTGCCCAGCGCGATGCCGCATCCCTGGGCCAGGCAAACGCCGTTGATAGCCGAGATGATCGGCTTCCAGATCTTCGACTGCTCGACATAAAGATCACCGGTCGTGGGCCCTTCGTTGGCGCGAGCGCTGGCCATGGCGACAAGGTCGTGGCCGTGGAGAAGGCACGGCCACTTCCGGTAACGATGGCGCAACGAACCTCGTCATTGTTCCTGACATCCTGGAAGGCGTCCCACAGCAACTCCCGCATCTCGGGGTTGATGGCGTTAAGCTTCTCCGGGCGGTTCAGCGTGATGTAGGCGATGCCTTCCTTGATTTCGTAGATGACTTCTCTCTCGGTCAACTCCCGTCCTCCTCAGATAATCCTGGAGCCCGTGGGCTTCGTCCCGATCACGCCACCAGACTCCAATGCGTCTATCTCCTCGCCGCTCAACCCCACCAGGCCCCCAAAGATCTCGCGGTTATGCTGTCCAAGCGTGGGCGATGGCCACCGCACCTCTCCAGGCGTGCCGCTCATCTTCCACGGCAGGCCGGGGTACTGCTTGGGCCCCACCTGGGGATGGTCTACGGTTACGAATGTCCCCCGCTCCGCATAGTGCTTGTCCACCAGCAGGTCCGGCCCTCGCAGCACCGGCCCTGCGGGAACACCCACAGCCTGCAGCCGTTCGGCCAGTTGGAAGGCATCCTGGTCGCTGGTCCACGCCGAGACTATTCCGTCCAACTCGTACTGGTTGGCCATCCGGGCCTCTGCTGTGGCGAACCGGGTGTCCGCCGCCAGTTGCGGGGCATCCATCGCCGCCACCAGAGACGCCCACTCGCCGTCGTTGGTGGTGGCGATGGTGACCCAGCGGTCTTCACCCTTGCAGTGATAGGTGTTGCAGGGCGCGTACCAGCGCGAGCGGTTGCCTATGCGCACTGGTTCCTGACCGGTCATCTGGTAGGACAGCAGTTCCCCGCCCATGAAGGCCACGGCCGATTCCTGCTGCGAGACGTCGATGTACATGCCCTTGCCAGTGCGGCGGCGGCGGCGCAGGGCGGCCAGCAGCACCCCGGCGGCATGGGAGCCGGTGATGGGGTCCCCGTGGTTGATGCCCGACTTCATCGGGCCGTCGTCCGGATAGCCCGTCAGGTGGGCCATCCCCGACAACTGTTCCTGCCCAATGCCATACCCCAGGTAGCCCTTCCACGGACCGGTGTTGCCGAAAGCAGGCATTGAGACGTAGATTAGGTCAGGCCGGTGTTTCCTCAGAGTCGCATAGTCGTAGCCAAGGCGTTCCAGGCTGCCCTGCCGGAAGTTCTCGATCAGTACGTCGCTGATGGACACCAGGCGCTCGAACACGCCGCGTCCCTCGTCGCTGGTCAGCTCCAGCGTGATGCCGTACTTGGACATGTGCAGGCAGTTGAACCAGCCGTTGCGATTCCACGGCTCGTCGCCCGGTTCGCCATCGGGGTAGGCTGCGATGCCCCGCGCCGGACTTACAGGCCCACGGTGCGAGTCGTAGACGCTGAGCGACTCCATCTTGATAATCTCGGCGCCCAGGTCAGCCATCAGCTTGGTACAGTACGGCCCAGCCCAGATGCGGGAAAGGTCCAGCACCCGATAATTCCTCAGCGGCTGGATTGTAGCAGCGGTCAAGGCGTCTACCCTGCGGCCCCATTGAGCTTGCCGGAGATGATACCCGTGGAGGCAAGTTCATCCACTCGAGCCGCATCCAGGCCCAGCCAGTCCGACAGCACCGACGCCGTGTGCTCCCCGTACAGCGGAGCCCGGCGGAACACCCAGGCATCAGCGCCGGGTTCACAGGAGATGGGCGCTCCCGGATAGCTCAGTGTCCCTGCCGCTGGATGCTCAAGGTTCACGAAGTAACCGCGTTCCACCAGTTGCTCCATCTCCAGGATGTCCTTCATCGTGGCGACGAAGCTGAACCCGAGTCCGCTCTCCTGGCCTGCCTTGAAAATGTCGACCTTGTCGTGCTCGATGAGCCATGGAAGCATCAGGGCATCAATCTCGTCCGCATTCTCTTGTCTCCCGCGCCTCGATGCGAAACGGGGATCAGCCAGTTCCTCGCGCTCCATGATCCGCGCCACCTCCGGCCAGCGGTGGTCCGGGCCCGCAATTATACCCACATGCCCATCCTGGCTCGGATAGATTCCCCACGCAGCCCGGCCGTAGCCCCGGTTACCGACGCGGGTGTACTCCTGCCCGGAATAGCTGTACTGCATCAGCGCGTTCTCGAGGATGTTGGTGGCATACTCAGCGATGGAGACGTCGATCTGTTGCCCCGCGCCGGTCTCCTCGGCATACATCAGGGCAGCCATTGTCGCTGCGAAGGCGTTCTGTCCGGCTCCCAGCTGGGCGAGCGGCGCTCCCTCTTTCAGCGGCTCCTGGTCCGGTTCGCCGGTAGATGTTCATCAGCCCGCCCAGTGGCATACAGGTTCGCCTCAGCGGCGCGCCAGTCACGGTACGGCCCCGTCTGGCCATAGTTGCTGATTGACGTAACTACTAGCGCCGGATTGACTCGGCGCAACTCCCTCATTCCAAGACCAAGCCCGTCCAGCGTTCCCGGCGCGAAGTTCTCAACCAGGATGTCCGCCTTGGCGGCCATTTCCAGGGCCAACTGTCGCCCCTGCTCCGACTTGAGATCCAACGCCAGGCTGCGCTTGCCAACGTTGAGGTACAGGTGCCACGCGCCGTCTTCCACAGGTTCGTTGCCGTAGTCGCGGTAAACGTCGGGACGTGCCGTAAACGGGCCCATGCGACGCATCGCGGATCCCCACTCGGAAGGCGTTCCACCTTCACTACATCCGCGCCCAGGCCGGCCATCAGGCGAGTACAGTACGGCCCGGCAACATAATGGGTCAGGTCCAATACCCTGACCCCTTCCAGTAATCCTGCCATAGCCGAAATTGTTGCACCCACTACGACCGATTGCAACCGGGCTCCCTGCACCGCCAGGCCAAACGCAAGTTGGCAGTTTGGATGTCTCGTAACCTTGCGCAATCGGCACGTCCTCCCGTTACTTTCAATGATCTTACTGACAGAAGCCCCTTGCAAACACTCATGACACACCGATACAATGTGACCATGTGTTCGAAAAAGCGTCCTCGGCGCCTGTACAGTCCTCGCTGCATCTTGCCCGGTGCCGGCGGAAATCCGCAGAGGCATGGCCTGCCCTGCCGACAGAAAAAGCAGGAATGGGACCAAATGGGACGGAAATTGAAAAAAATCCATTCCGCCTGAAAGCTGGGTCCCCCTCACAGCTACGAAAACGCACCTTTGGGGAGTGCAAAAGACCCCAAAATGGGACAAGATGGGAAAATATGGGACTGCGTGGGAAAAATCCTGTCCCACCTCTCCCACCAGAGCTGGGAAATCTGCCCGTCTCACCGCCGCCACATCGGTCGACTGTCCGACCCGAACCTTTTGTCTCCTTGGTACTGCCAGTTTCCGCCTCCCCTCCTGTCCGTAGGCTCGATAGTCCCGGAACGGCCGGCAAGATTTCTCAGCCGGTGCTGCCGTTCACCCACGTCTTTTCCAGCGAGGGCGCATTACCACAAAGGCAAATGGTCCTGATATCCAGCCTGTTGGCCACGAAGTAGGGTTCCTTGGGAAATCCCTTTCAGGCGCCTCAGAAACATATCTTGCAGAATGGTCGACTTCCTGGCTATTGAGATTACCTTGTCCTGCCAACGCCCGTCTTTGTGGTATTCTGCCCGCAATCAAAGACTTGGAGTGTGGTATCAATGGAACGCCCCATTTTTCAGCCGGTCGGCACGCCGGTGGAGGAGTTGGACACCCCCGCACTGGTAGTTGACCTGGACTTGATGGAGCGAAACATACAGGCCTACCACGGCTATGTCGACGGGACGCCGGTAACGATTCGCCCGGTGGTGACCAGCCACCTCTGCCCGCAGGTGGCGCGCCGCCAGTTGGCCGCTGTCGCCGCCAGGGGCATCGCCGCCACGACCCTGGGAGAGGCCGAGGTCTTTGCCGCCTCTGGATTCGCCGACATCCTCGTCGCCAACCAGATCGTTACGGCGTCCAAGATTCGCCGCCTGTGCGCCCTGGCTTCCCAGGCAAGAGTCAGCGTCGCCGTGGACAGCGCCGCCAATGTGGCCCAACTGTCCGCCGCCGCAAATTCTGCGGGTGTCGAGCTTGGGGTGCTGGTCGAAATCGAAGCCGGCACGGGCCGCTGTGGTATTGCCCCCGACGCCGAGGCAGTCGCCCTCTCTCACGCACCGTGAGGGACGCCGACGGGTTGGTTTTCAGGGGCATCATGGCCAACGTTCCCGGGCCCGAGGGCGACGACCCCGATTCCCAAGCCAGGCAGACCCGCGAGCGGTTGCAGGTCGCCGTTGATGCCAAGGATCTTATGGAGAGCGCGGGCCTGTCGGTCCCCGAAGTCAGCGTCGGCGGCGCCCATTGCTACACTGCGGTCAGAGATCTCCCCGGGATAACCGAGGTTCGCGCCGGACGCTATCCCCTCATGGACGTACGCCTGCAGTCCCACCTTCCCGATCTGTCGCTGGCAGCAATGGTACTGGCCACCGTTATTAGCCATCCGGTGCCTGAAATCGCCGTGCTTGACTCGGGGCACAAGGCCACCGGCCCGGACAACGGCCGCCCGGTCCTCCAGGGCGTGGAGGGCGGCTTCGCTGCCCGCTTCAGCGCAGAGCACGGTATCGTGGAACTCGAGAGTGGGGCGGAAGGCGCGTTGGCGCCCGGCGAAGTGGCTCGACTGGCCCCGTGGGAGTTGGCATCCACTATAAACCAGTACGACTTCATCCGCGCCGTGCGAAATGGCAGGCTGGAGGGCTACTGGCCCTTATCCGCCCGCGGCCGGTTTGCCTCTAAAAGCAATTCATAAGATGCCATTCATCACTAAAGTAGAAACTATCTCAAAAAGGTATTAGTGTGAGAAGGAGAACACAAAGGCGGTGGCGTTAAGATAGGGGAAATCTGTGTGGTGGTAGATGATGGGAAAGAGCGAGTCCCTGCCAACGATCTGGGAAATACCGGATGATCTGTGGCAGCGAATTGAACCGGTGATTTTGGAGTTGGACCCACCCAGGGGAAGGGGCGCAAACGGGTGGACCAGCGGAAGATGCTGGAGGGCGTCATATTCCGATGCGCAGTTCCTGCCAATGGAACCGCTTGCCCAAGGAGTTGGGGGATGACAGCACCATCCACCGGACCTTCCAGCGTTGGGTAGAGCGTGGGGTGCTGAGGGTATCTGGGCCGTCCTGATAGAAGAATGCCGGGAGTTGGACGGCTGTATATTGGGAATGGCAGTCCGCCGATTGCTCCATGGGAAAGGCGCGTTTTGGGGGGGCGCTATTGGACGCAATCCCACGGACCGTGGGAAGGCAGGAAGCAAGAAAAGCATCCTGGTCGACGGGGCCGGCGGGCCACTGAGCGTGGTGGTGGCCGGAGCTAATGTCCACGACACGAAACTCCTCAGGCCGACGCTGGAGAGCATAGTGGTGGACCGGCCGGAAGGCGTCCAGAACCTGTGCTTGGACAAGGGGTATGACAACCCCACAGGCCACCGAACCGTCGCCGACGCCGGATACCAGCCGCACATCCGGCGTATTGGCGAAGAGAAATTGGACCAATCGGGCGAGAAGACCCACCCAGCGCGGCGGTGGGTGGTGGAACGCACCCTGGGCTGGCTGTCCAAGTGCCGGGCGATACTGGTGCGCTACGACAAGAAGCCATCCAATTACCTGGGTCTGCTCCAACTGGCATGTGCCCTTATCTGGTACCGCCGTCATGGAGCTCGCTATTTGAGAGAGGTTTTTTTAATAAGACGACCATTCCACCCTGATCCTCACTCTTCCAGGGATAAGAGAACGGAGTAAAGTGGAGTGTAGTAACCGGTGATGATAGACAGCCAGACACCACTGCCAGGCACGCCCATGCAGGACCTCGACACCCCATGCCTTGTGCTGGACCTCGACGCTCGACAACAACAGGACGTCATTGAAGATTACTACCGCGGACCGTCCCAGTAAGCTGTCTGGTGGCCACAGCCAACGAGACCACAAGACGCGCACACGCCTGAGACACGGCAGAGCACAATCGCCATTACAGCAAAGGCCACGCATCGACAGTCGCGGTGGCAACGATCGGCGGGAGTTTGTGGCGGCCAAGGTCGCGAAGGCCGAGGTAACTTGGTGCACGGCCCTGGCGCGCACCCCCCAGGTGTCATACACACCATGCGCAGGTCGTCGGAGACCCTGAAAAATACAGCCGCTCTCTGCTCTCTGGCCGGACAGGCCGAGGTGATGGTCGCCTGCGACAGCCCGGACAATGCCCGCGCCCTCTCGCAGGAGGCGGCGGCCCAGGGCGTCGATCATTGGTTGTTTGTTATCGAGGTCGAAACAGGGATGGACGCGCTGCGGCTACAGGACTTACAGCAGGGAGGCTCCCTGGCCCCACGAGATCGATTAAATGCAGGGCCGTTAAGCTTCGGGGCATAGGAGTCACCAGGTCATCCCCTCCATTTGCCCGGGACCGGGGGCAGAAGGACCCGCGTCATCGAGGGAAAAACCGCGTCATCAAGGGACCACCCCCGTACCAACCCGTTATCGAGAGTCAGGGACGCAACGTTGAGTCCGGCCTGCCCTCGAAATAGTCTCAAACGGCGAGACCTGGAGCTACACGCTACGATGCGTGGCCGGCGGGAGATAGACGGGGTGAAAACGAGATTCAGGCGGCAGCTACATGATTATGGAGGCCCACTACGAATACATGACCGAGTTCAGCTACGCCGCCAAGGTGTTGACAACCGTTATCAGCACACCGCGGACGGGGGTTGCAATCGGCGATGCTGGTTCACGGGCCGTCAGCACCTTGCGCTGGGTGAACAGACGGTGGACGGTGCCCCGGTTCGTGGAGGTGGATGGAGTCGAGGACGCGACCATGCTGTCTTCAAAACTGACCGACGGAGCTCTCTCAAGGTGGCGCCAGGTGTTGCGATACCCGGGCCAGAAGGACGCAATGGTCAGCCATGGGAAACCGCTTTTCGTCGGCCTTACGCGACGGCAGGTCGAGGCCATCTGGGAATCCAGGCCCGCGGCCTGCCACAGCTAGAGCCCGATAGTAGATTCCCCATTACGAGGGGACTTCCAGATTGATGAGGAGACACGGCAAACAAGGCCCAAACCCAGTCGTCC